TTTTCTAAAAGCACAGACAAAGCTAGAATATCACTATGGAAAAATAGCATATCACTACTATATACTGTAATTGTTCTTTTGATCTACAAAATATTCAGAAGGATTGTGGAGAAACTGAGCTAGCAAACTTCAAACATACCATATTACATTCTCTTCATTTTCACTTAATTTTCCTCCCCTGTTCTCAAGAAGAAATTATAATTTAAAACCTCACATGTTTGCAAGAGACCATATGCATAGCATGTGGACCTGCAACATTGTTTCAAAAATGGAGGCATTATTATGTAGAAAATTCAAAACTGCAAGTGTAATATAAATAGAATTATGTAAAAATAAATAGCTTAGCTTCTTCCAGCTGGTGCAGGACCACAAGGAAAACTTCTGGATGATTAATACTCAATACTTATTTGAAATAAACTGCAGATGGTTTCAGCTAGTTCTTGGCTAGCATAACAGAACTATTTCTAAATAAAGATAAGAGCTATATAAAGGCACTAAAAATTGAAATTAAAAAATGTTTGTTTGGTTTTCTGATATTCACTTTGCATGAACATTTACAGTCTCCATTTATCAAAAACTGTAGAAGACTGGGACTGTCAATGAGAAAGATAAAAAGTGAAGTTATCCTGACATGTTTGTGTTCAACAAAGAAAAAATCCTCTTGCATGATACAAGAAAAACAGTAGAGAGGCAGGACAGAACTGACTATAGGTGGGAGTCCATACTTTGATATACTACCTGTGAATGCTTTTTTTTAAATCAGGAGATTAATATTGTAATTTTTTTATTCCCTGTTGTCTTTAATTTCAGCAATGAATTATTGTATTGCCTCATGGAGGATGTTAGCACACAGTTAACCCCCTACCCTGAGGGCATGCACTTTGACAGGGAATGTACCACGGTGCCAGTGAAGGTGAGCTCTCGCCAAAAAATGCCATTTGCAGGGCCGTGGGAAAGGCAAAGCAAGGGTCATCCAGCCCATGGGTCACCTGCACCAGAATGCTGGGGACAGCATTCTTTCAAGCAAGAAATGCTACCCAATGCTACCACTCCTTATGTCTGCCCATTCTACAAAGGAGGGAGTTATGGGAAATAGAGACAACCTTTCCCTTGCCTCAGCCACTTGGTTAGCATTTCTACTGCCTCAGAAACACAGAAAAATGGGGCATTTTTTATCTCATAGAAAAGTAATGTTATGAATGCAGGACTGCCACCCAGAGATGCCAATAATAATTAATCATCTGGAAATGCACTTGAGTGACTGTATTTACATGCTGATGCCTTTCAATATCAAAAATATCTATTATGTGTTACAATTATGTATTTAATCTTGGAATATAAAAAATCTCTTCCTGGGTCTTGTTCAGCTTCCAAGTAAGGAGAGACCATTAAAAGAAAGCATTAGGCAATGTTTCATTTACTTGAAAGCAGGAGATTGAATTTCTATTAATCAGCAGTAGAAAATATTCAGTAAACTTCACACAGTGATATCCAGGTGGCACCATATCTACAGAAATTACCTCCATTATGGAAAAAACAGACTGAAAAGTGTGATGAACGTGCAGAAAGATGTTAGCAATTATGATAAACTGTTCTGCTAGGATCTTTGGAAGCTACCTCATGAGAAACTGATGGCTGGCCCTTTGGGCAGGTTGGTTACTGTACTGACTTGGTAGGGTTGTCCTGAACCTGTCACCCCACCTGTCACTCTGCCTTGTCTGCAGGGAACTCAGGCTGGCACATCAGCTCAGGTAATCTCAGCACCCATAATGCAGGTTACTGTGGAGACAGCTGGCTGGACAAATGAAAAAGAAAACCTGATAGAAAAGGGATACCATTACTTATGGTTTCTGAAAATATTGCATTACATATTAGACAGAAGTGTCATTAAAATACAAGTTCTTACAGTATGTATATGTGTAAGATATGCCTCCATATTAAAATCTCTAGAGATGTTAATCTTTACAAGTGACACAGGGAAAGGCATGTTGCTTTCTAGATATTAAAAACCTGTAGATAACAGCCTGAGAGGGCAGAATGACCAGGCATCCTGAGTAAAATTAATCCCTTTTAAAGAATAGTAGACATCATTATGATCAAGTTTTCTACATGCCTGTGCCTTTAAAGTTCCAGAAAAATCCACAGATTTCCACTGCTAAAATGACCAATTGCAAAGTTATGCTAGATCAAACTGGGGGGGAAACAAAAAGAAAAAAAACAACAACAACAACAAAAAACCCACCACCACCACCAACAAAAACAAACAAACAAAAAAAAAATTAAAAAAAAGACACAAACACACAGACAAAAGTCACAGTGCTGTGCAGGAGGAAGCTGCAAATATTTGGAGGAGTGAGACATGTTAGGGAGCTCACCCAGTAAAGCTTCAGAAGGCCTATTTAAAATACATATGCTAGTTTATTAGAAGAAAACCAGAAATGTTCAGGCAGCACTAAGGTAGTAGTACCATTGCAGCCTTTCAGGATTCAGAAGACACACTCAATAGTTTATGAAGACTACTATCCTTGACACAGATATGCAAGGAAAATTATTCAAATTAGTAAATTCCTACTGCAAGAGCAACCAGTGTTTGAAGCAGTTATGCAAGACAATTCAAATTTTCAATTCAATGGAAAAAATTAAAAATAATAAAATCAAAACACTCTAGATTTTATGCAAATCAAAGACTTGTGTTTGTTCTTAGTAACAAGTCTATCATTCCTATCTTTCATTAAAAATCCCTGCTTCAAAAAGAGACTATTCTTAGATTTAAAATCACTCTACAGTTTTATCCAGAAAAGGCTAGTAAAACATTATCTGCTAATATGAAGCCCATAACTGCTGATATAGCCCTGAGATCAAATAGTTTGCCGAGCATATATAATATATTCATCTCTAAACAATAACAACAATAAAAACAACAACAACAAAAACAACAACAACAAAATTGAAGAGCAGAAAAAATGTTAGTTTCAGCAGGGAGAATGAAAAACATCCTGGAGATGAAACTGTAGTATCCTCTGGGGTGCAGAACAAAGAGTTGATTTTATTGGGAAAACAATTACAGAAGTCAGATATCTTTAACTTTCAGAGATAAAAGGCTTCAAGGGGAAGAGGCTCTAATGGCATACACTGAATAGATGCCAGGGATGGCATTCTGGTGCCTACAGGGACATGCCTACATCTCAGTCACCCAGCCTAGGCTCTGTTTAAAGACACAGGGAAGCAGCCAGTCTCAGAAGGGATTCCCTCTGATTTCACCAGTGAACAAATGAAGCATGGACTGATGGCTCATTTACCATCTGTACACTTGTCTGTGTGTACATGTAACCTCTTCGCTACCTTGGAAATCAATATCATAAAAGTACTAGAACTGCTGTACTGTTGTTTTTCTTTATGAAAATAAACAGCATATGCATGAACATCTGTTAATGTATATAATTCTGAACTATATTGTTAATTATAGCTTCAATAATTGCTTCACTGTGACATTTGCTGCAATAAATATGAAATATCTTGAATCTATTTTCAAACAGCTCTGCAGTAAGCCAAGAACAGTTTACAATTTAACTTTACTACCTCAGTAGTAAAGTTAAATTAAAACAGGCTGAATTGGTTTTTTTGACAGGAATTGAACAAATGCTTAGCTGGTAACTAAATCTGTCCCATTTCCTTCCCAGTGTAGAATTTTATAGACTGTCTATGATTTATTTTTTTTTTAGTAAAACCAAATTATTAGCTCGTAGAAAGTTATATATTAATTTAACAGCACTTCTCATCTGTTCTTAGGCACTACTTGTGTATACAACATTTTTGTCTGGGTTATTTTTATTTCTTGTAGTGTTGCAGGACTCTTCTGTGAATTTAATACCTGGCTGAAAAGCTGAATCCAGGATGTCTGCAGTCAACAGCATTTCATAAATGGCTTTCCCCTTCTGCAGCAAGGTATTTCATAAATATTTTAGGACAGATAGTCATAATTTGACATTCAAGCTGTGATAGTTAAATAGGATTGATTACATAA